GGCTCCTCCTCCAGGCGGAACCGAAAGCAAAACGCCGCGGGTGCGGGCAGCGCGTGTTTCTGCGCTGACTCTGCTCTTCGATGGTTAGAAATACCCGTGAGCTCTTCCCAGCACGAGTTTTCCCCGTCGGGGGGCTCAGCAGGCTGGTGCTGGGGGGTGGGCTGCTGGCGGGAGCTCCCTGCAGCTCCCGAAGGGGCTCCGGCGATTGGCAGTCGGTGAACTGACGGACTGCCCGGCTTTGCCTTCAGTGGTCAACGAAAGGTTAGTACAGCAGGCCAAGAAACAAGTCTCGGTGCTAGAGGTCGCTGGGACCGACACTTTGAATTGTGCTTCTGCTTTGACAGTCCCGGTAGGGGTGCCTGAGGTGCGCTGCGGTGTGGCAGATCTGCTGCTCAGCAGGGCCGGGTAGTTGTGCACCCAACTGTTAAGTCCAGATGTAAGCCCAAGGTCAGTCTCAGTCACGTTGTGATTTCTGTGGCCAAACTTTCTGGATTGACTTTGAGGGATCAGGGAGGACAGTTCTATGCAGGGTGTAGCTCTTCCTGACGTTTTAGGGTGGTTCATGAGCATTGAGACAGTACCCAGCTAAGGGAGGAGTGATAGTTGAATTGTCTGATCAGTCTCTTACCTGGTGTAGATTAACTGTGTTGGAATCACCTTCTTAAATTACATTGTTTCAGTTCCTTCATAAGATAATTGATGGCATTTGTGGACGTGCGTATCCTCGGTACCAGGATTACGGCAGTGTTTGGAGCTTGTCGGAGTGGATGGAGGTTCTAGAAGAAGCAAGGATGTATTTCAAAACTGCAGTTGGCAAAAACTTACCTGATGAAGAGGTAAGGGCTCATGATTGGGCTTCACTGTGAGAGATCCTGCTGGAGTGATCAGTCTTGTAGTTTACTTCCTCCTAAAGTATTTTTACAGCGTTGCATTTGAATGGTAGCAGACTAGGTCTCAATAGGTAGGTGAGCAGCATTTAGAGATACACTGCAAGGACTTTGAAAAGAAAAAGTGAAATTGACACTTTTATTTTGAATAGCATTAGATAATGCTGGTTAAAATACTGTTTTAGTCACTTAAATTGATATCTTAGGTACCACCAAGTTACATCTGTTTTCCTTAAAGTGTGTAATGTGTCATTACTGTCCATTAGCAACAAAACCAATTCATACTCCTGTTTGGCTTTCTTTGTTCCTTACTACTGCATTGTAGTGTTTTAAAATACTGACTGTATGTAAAGCCAAAAAAAAACCCATAGACCGTGAATGGAAGACCATGAGGGACAGGGGCTATAATTAAGGGCATTCCTATATATATATGTACATACACACACACACACATATATATATATAAACTTTACAAAAACATGTTGCATTATCAAAAAATCTTAATTCTCTTTTTTTGGACATTGCTCTTATTTTGACTACCTAGTAACTAGATCAAAGAACAAGACTTGTGTAGTGACAGGGAAGTCCATATATCAGCATGTCTGTTTCAGCTAAGCTAATGTATTTTGCCTCCACTATGTTGCTTAGACACTTTCACAGCTAAACCTGTGTTGTTTGTGTGTGTGATTTTTGTTTTGATTTTATGGTGATATCTAAGAAGGCTGATAAAGCCTCCATTTTCAGGTGTCTTTTAAATGTCAATAAAATTATTACTATTTTTTTAAACATTGCTGTGGTGTAAATACTGACTCTTAACTATCAAACACAGAGAGCAGACACTGAGGACAGTTTAAGAAAGGTGAGAGTATGGAGTCCATTACAGCAGCTATCTGGGTAGAAGCTTGGTTACCTACAGAACACAGCTATTACAGGTGGCACTTGTCATTTTTGTGGTTCATAGTTCAAGCAATCACAATTTTTCTTTTTATTATTGTAGGCTGCTCAGCAGATAAATGAGTTAAATTCAAACTATCAAGAAGTAATCACAAAATGTCTAAAAGGCAGAAAGGAAGAAATCAGGCATGCACTAGTGGAGAGAGTAAATGCAATCTCTTCTGCGCAGCTGCAGGATTTTGACTGGCAGTTAAAGGTGAGAGTGTTGCCTTGATGTTGTTTGGAAGAAGCATTCCACGATACAGAAGTAACTATTGATATAGTCCCCTTGGGCCTGCTCTTTCTGGAGCAATGTTCAGATTTCACAGGTATCAGAAAAGCATGTTCATGACAACATTTCAAAGACTTGCACTTTGTATAAATTGCAAAAGTAAAATTCTTCCTGTATTTTTTTTTTTTTTTATTGCCTCCTTCCTGTCTTTTCAAGCTGTAGTACCTATCTCTTTCCTAAAAGGAAACTGAGTGTTATTCAGGAACACTTGCAAGTTTTGTATGCTGTTATGATTTTGAGGTCTGGATAGATGTATTTCTACTCAAAGGAAGAAGAAATACTTACTTCATTTTAAGAGTAAAATACTGATTTAGTATGTGTTTCCCTGACGACTTTCAAATTTTTTTTATTCCTGCAATAAAGATTTGTGTAATACTTAGTTTGAAATAACTTATACTTAGTTTGATAATAAGTCAGTGATAACTTTGTTGCCTAAAGTTGGGTGTTGCTTTGGGGTTATGAAGGCAGCTGCTTTAAATTAAGGTCTATCAAAGATTTAAGATATGAACAATATGAGTAATGTTGTTCAGTTAGTCCATGTGAGCTGTTGAGCAGTTTTGTTACATAATTTTTTATTTCAACAAGAGCATTAAATAATCTGTGCAGCAAACAGCTTTGGAAATTAAAGAGCAATGCTCAGAGTAGACAAGATTTTGCAAGAGCAAATAGGGCATCATACTGTGTTTCAGTTTTACTGTTACTCAGGATTGATGTCTCACTAACTGCGTGTACTGCTGGCAAAAATACAAACTAGACTTACATGACCTCTTGGTAAAAGAAACCACAAGCAAAAAACTTATTCTTCTGGAGGATTTTTTTAGTTTCTTCCTGTTTGTAATACAAATTTCTGGTTCATGTCTGAACTGTTGTATTCCTTTTGCTTTAATCCACTTCTTTATTTTTCACTTTAGCTGGCTGTGATTTTTTTCGCTTACCAGAGTTGAATCAAAGGACATTGTTGGTCCACTATTGTACTACGTTCTGCTCTCTGTATAAATAAGATAGGTGTGTGCAGCACATCTGATCTTTGATTTTAATATATTTTAAACATCTTAGTTATAATAGAGTGAGTATAATGGTAAACAATAAGAAAGCACAATTGGTATGTAATCATCTTCATCAGTGTTTGTCAGATAATCAGCAGTGTTTTTCCAGCTTTAGAGACAGTTGAAAAATGTGCAGATGTGTTCACTTTCTCCCAACTGTCCCTTCCATAAGATGTTTCTTACGTGTTGATTACCAGAACTATTTGAATACTGTCACTTCAAAGTTCATATACTTCACTTTTAAAGAGCTGTGATGAAATGTATCTTTTCACTTAGAACACAAACATGTAGCAGCCCAGTAATTTTAACAAGTCGATTTGACAAATGTATTGCTATGAAGAGGGGTTTTAGTATTTGAGTATATTGTTGGTATTAATAAGCAAACAAAAAAATCCCCACAACAGGGAAAAAAAGCAAACAAACTGCAGAGATGAGTTATGAGAAGGTAATATTGTTGTGTCAGGGTTTGTTCTGGTGGTACACTTTCAGTATGAAGTGCAGATGTCATGCTATGAAAGACTGAACTTAATGGCTCTACCTTACACTTTGTTATTGTTTCATCAATCTGTATAGCTTGCTTTATCCAGTGATAAGATCTCCATGCTGCAAATGCCACTTCTCAATCTTGATTTGGATGTGAGAGAAAATGGTGAAATTAAACCAATTTCTATAGAAATGAATAAGGAAGAGTTGCAGAACTTAATAAGCTCACTGGAGGCCGCTGATAAGGTACTGATATTATCCTTTGTTCCTGACTTCTCATGTACTGATTTTATTTTAACTGAAGTTGTTTGTTCAGAGAATCTTGCTGAAAACCTAAAGTAAATAATTCATTGGCAAAATGACTGTGGAGTTACAGAAAGCTTTCCATAAGGCAAACTGTCTTGAATAGACTTCAGGGCTTTTTTTTTTTTTTTTTTACACAGTTTAGTCTAGGATTTTTCAAAAGTTTAATTAGAATCCTGATAAGCATAATAGTCTGTTCAGAGCACTATTAAAAAGTCTCTTGAGAACAGGTGGAGAAGCAAATGAAATGACAGTGTGTCAGATCGGAGCTGATTATGAAAGATTGGACAGAACTCCAGTGTTCCCCCAGCTTCACAAAATATCAGTGGTTTGGAATTCATGTGGGAGAGTTGTTTAGTTCAAATTGATGCTTTAATTTCCATGACACAGTAAATCAGGAAGAAAGTCGCAAAGATTTTGTAGAGTAATCTTAGAAGAAAATTTGAAGTGAAACTTCGAGTGTCTCGGATTTCTTAATAGAAAAGATCAAAGGCAGTGAGGATTTAAGAAAAATTTTAAGGGAAGATATTACTTGACTTGCAGCCTGGTGGTAACTGAAAACTCCTGGAGCTCTTCCTTGTTCAGTTACCTTTCAGGATTAATTCTGTCTCTGTTAATAAGTGAAAGTGTCGGATGTTTTTTGTTTCGCTTCGTTTGTTGTTTTGGTTTTGTTTTATTTTGTTTTAATTTAAATCTGAAAATATCTTAAAATCTTTTATTAAGTTGTTTGTTATCTGGGAGATGGAATTCTTTGACATCTTGCAGGATGTCTTTTTAGATTTTTTCTGTAATGTTGTGTTATTATAGCTGGAGTTGGTATACCAATATTTAGAAAAAATCTTCAAGTATGTAAAACCTGAAAATAATAGGTTTATAGCTCATAAATACTAACTTATAATAGTGCTGCTAATATTTTAAATTAAAAATACACTAAGGTTATGTCTACTGGTTGCTTCAATGAGGTTAATATAAGGCCTCTGAATAACCAGGCAGTTCCCAGTGAGAAGAATGTGCTAGTCCAGATACAGATGGTGTTCTCATGGAATGAGAGCCCTGAACAGCTTTCTTTCCTCTGTTTTTTCCTCCAAACCTAAATAAAAATGTCAGCTTGCAATGAACTCTACAGTAGGGAAGCAGGGATTCTTCCAGGACGCACTTAAGTTTCTATATGCCTTTTGTTCTGCCTGAAGGTCTGTATGGAAGTTGTGGGATGTTGTCATGTCCTTACTTAGTTTTATGTGTGCGCAAGGAGGAACTAACTCCAGAAGTGGTGCCTTGATGATCCTTTGTGTGGAAAGAATCTCACTGGGTTTGGAAATTACCATTGTACTTTTTGATTGCATGGAGATGAGGAATGGTTTGTGTGCAGTAACTGCTAAAGAAAGTTATTGGAAGTGATAGTTGTGTGAGGTTGGAAAGGAGGGCTGACAGAGGGACGGTGTATTTTCCAGAGGAAGAGTTTATACAATTGTGTATTATACTGTAATGGACAGCTAAGAGCTTTAGTTTTAGTGCAAGTTTTAGTCTCATGCAACTTTAATCTAATTCCTTTTCTTCTTTTTGAAGGTTGTCTTGCAGCTGAAATGATGGAATTCAGATCATTGACAGTATCTACTGGTGATTGCTCCCTAGTTGACTCTGGGGGGGGGGCAAAAAAGTTCTCTGCAAAGCCAAAAATTCTTGAAGGCTGTTATGACTTGTAAGCAAATAAGCTACTAATCCTTTGGTAAAAATAATAATAAATAATAAAAAATGTGTTTCTATATGACCAAAAATATAAAAATTCAATTTACATTTGCTTTTAGTACTGAATATTTCTAGAACTATGGAGAAGCCTAACTTATAACGTGCCATATTTGTTTTGGTTAAATTTCTGCAGTGACTGCACAGATGCCTAGGAAAATGAAGGCATGTTACTTCATGTTACCCTTATCTAAGGTGCCATGATAATGAAGAACATGACAGAGTACTTGTAGCATTAATCTATTTATACTTGTAAATAGTAAATAAACATTTGATTTTGTGTGTGAATAATTGCAGTAAATTGTTTCTTGATTTAATAATAACTCAGTCTTTTCAGATGCTGGAAAAAATGAGCTTTTCAAGCAAAAGCAGTAGAATCACAGAATAGTGGAGCTTGGAAGGCACCTCTGGCAGTCACCCTGTCCAGCTCCTCTGCTCAAGCAGGGTCATTAGAGGAGGCTGCACAGAACTGTGTCCAAATGGCTTTTTGATACCTCCCAAGGATGGAGACACCACAACCTCTATATGCAACTTGTTCATTGCTCAGAAGTTGAGGATGAAGCACTGGGGCTTTACTCAGAGTAAAGTCTGGGCTTTAGTTGATTACTTAGTTGATGACTTTTCACTTAATAATGTTAATATTTTCAAAACGGTTGCAGTGCTGGGAGCTGACCTACATAGGCAGTGAAAAAGATATTCTCAGCCCATATAATACAGCCAATAACTGGCAAAACCTAGTCTAAACATTTCTGAAACCAGATTGAGTTTTGATTGTAATATGATACAAAAGTTATAAGCTGTAACATTGGAGAGGAGTACACCAGGATCTTATGGTTTGGACTGTTAAAGTATTTTTCCATTGGTAATGAGCAAATTACCTGTAATGCTTACGTAAATACTGATGTGTACTTCTCAACATGCACGTGTGTACGTGTGTTTTGAATATATAAAAAAGGCAAGGTATTGATTACTTACCTTCTTAGTAGTTTCAAAATTAGGGCCTTGTGTTTCTTCCACTATAGTTCGATATGCCATAGGTTTTCATGTAAGCAAGTGTAAAGTAATGCATCCACAGAAAAAATTGGACTCGGAGGACTGGTTGGAACAGGAAGAGAACAAGAAGCTCTCTAGTAGAAATGCCTCTACGAAAAGGATTTTAATAGGTTTAATGGGTAGGAAACCTAAATGTATGTTTCTAATATTAAAACTAGCACAGAAGTTTTGTGGGTCAGAGAACATTTTAGAAAAACCTGTGCATGTAAAGTGTAGCCTGTTTACCTTTTATGTGGTACTGGTACATTTAGTCAGATGTTCATGGTCAGTGTGAGCCATTCAAGAAAGATCAGGAAAAGTAGAGAAGGGGTTAAGGGTCATAAGAATGAAAGACTACAAGATTTATCTTCCTATGAAAGGACTGCAATCTCTTCAACAGATATGGCTTCATCATAGTCTTGAATCTACACAAGCAGGAGAAATTTTATAATGTATCAGAAGGACCTTGAATACATGGTACCAAATTCAAGCTAAAAAATGCAGGTTGGAATTGGTGGTTAGCTTTAAAAAAAGTCTGGAAAGAGTTACTTCACGTTGTCCATTAGTGTGTTCAGGAGCATGTTTTTTTTTTAGTTGAATACATTGGTCAGGTCATAGGTGTATTTGTTTTGTCTCCATTTTTACTTCTAATAATGACAATTTTCCACCTTTGTTTTGCAAAGTTGCTGTTTTGTGCAGCACTATTTAAAGTTAGTTGTGTCTGAAAATCTAAAAAAATCAGGTAATACATTGTCAGCTAGATCAAAACAGAAAATAATGCTTCAGAGTGGGAACAAGGAAACCAGTATGTTTACAGATGCAAACAAGGTTGCTTATTCTCTCGCTGAAATGCATAATCTGTCGAAGGAAACCATTTTTATGAACACTTTTGGTGGTGTGATTGATATTTTATCCTTTCCTCTAAGACTGTGCAGATACAGATAGGCAGTGATGACTTCAGGGATGTGACTGATCAGAGACCATCTCTAGAGAGATGACTTGGTTCTGCTGCCGTGTAATTATCTTAGCCCCTTGTTGGTAATGACAATAGATTTGCCAAGAATAAAAGTGTAAAATAATTACTATTGTGCTGTTTATGAGGTGGTGTTTTTTTTATAACACTCACAGACTCAGAATAACATAAAATAATGGAAGAACAAATGTGCCAAGGACCAAACAACATAATTACACTGTACTCCAAGAACAGTAAGTAGACCCAGATCACCTCATCTGCCTTAAAAAAATGCCAGATTTCTCATTTTTCTCCTCATGCTTTCACCCTGTGCATAAAAATTTCAGTATCATTACATGTTGTAATTCAATATTCTGTGATCTTCTGCCTTCTTTGGGTCTCTGTGCAGGTAGGAAGAAACATACAATCATAGATGTGGGGGTTTTATGCAGAAAACATGAAAAAGCATTTTTTTCATGCTACAGGTATACATGGCCCTTTTTTGACTAATACTCCTCAGACAGTGTTAGTAATGCCTCCTTAGCATGTGGGAATCCAAGAGAAGGGGGAGAGTTTTGTCAGTGATGGGAAGCAGAAGGTCAAACATGGCCCCCAGCCCTAGGTGACTTTCCTCGTGATACATCTCAAGATATCATCCACTTGCAGTACAAGACACATATTCTATGAGGGTGAACAAGGTGAACCAGTGGGTAACTCTTTAAACATCAACTTCTGTAGTGCTCAGTGGTAGCATAACACGCAGGATGTTGTCAGAAATATTCCTATGATATTGAAAATCTTCCTATTTTTGTGGCATTTTAAAACAGTTTCTGCCACTATCGCTATTCTTTCTTAACTGTTTTGGATAGTCTGGGAGTGGAAATGAAGTGGAAGAATTTTGTTTTATCCTTTCAAGTAATTGCAGCTGCCTCTTCCACTCTTGTTTTGGGCTGATCCCATCTCATCACAACAATAAGGCTCTTGTAAACCAGTGGTTTTGCTCTGCCAGTGAGGGTTCACAGACTGGCTACCCAGCTGGATTGGTATTAGAGAGTTGGACAAAATCCAAACTGGAAACTGGATAATGCAAAAACAAGGGGCACTGACAGTTGCTTTTCACACAGTATTTTACACTACAGATTGGCAGAATGTATTGCTTGCTTTGAATTTATTTCTGTGCATAACCACAAAGCTGGCAAGTTCACTGGCCCATGGACTTACTCTCTCTGTAAAAGTCCAGTGCCAGATCATTGAATTTAAAAAGTTCAGTTTGCCTATTGAGCAAAATTTCCATATGTCCTGCGTATTCTTTTTTTTTATGATGCCAAAATATAATTACTAGTTGCATTAAAATATTATTGATCTAAACATTCTTTAGATTTGACTAAAAAGATGCATCAAAATGTCCCATGCGGGGACATGGTGTGTGGCAGTTTTAATTTTGGTTGCTGATATGGTGCAAATGTTGAAAAATTATCTGGAGCTGATTTAGGGTGGGAATAGGCATATGACTTGTCCCCTATTCAGAAGAGCCATTGGACGGAATTAATATTTATCCTGAATCATCTCACATTGTACCTTGTGGCTGATTACTTTGGTAAAATTGAGCAACTCTTCAATAGACTAGAGGTTAAAAGTTGGATCAGAGAAGAAGCAGCTGAGAAGACCACCTTTGCTGCCTACTGTCCTGATCAATGTTTCTGTACCAGCTGGCAATGGTAACAATCGTCTTGGTACCTACAAAGACTCTGTTGGATTGTATGTCTTGACTCCTAAAGGTATGAAACACTTTTAATACAAAGTAAAATTTATCTGCTAATAGTTCTGTTTCAGTAAAATGCTGTGTTAGGCAACATGGTATAAACACTGTTAGTAAAAAGCTGGCAATAGAGCAGGGGAATGGGTTTGATACAGGTAAGAGATGACTGACCCTTTGCACTTTGCCTGCATCTCCTTGGTCTGGTTGTGTCAGGCAATAAAAGCACCATGGGCAGAGGATGCTCCTCAGGAGCACTGTGCCAAACATCTCCAGTGCACTGTAAGACTCAGCTGTATGTCCTCTTTCTCAGCAGAGCAAGGAAACCCAGAGGAGACTGTGTGCAGGACTCTCCTCAGTTCTGTTCCCAGACACTTGCCAACTTTTGGGAGAGTGTGTTGCAGTTACCAGCCACAGGAAACCTGTGAGTCAAGAAAAGTAGCCACTCAAGGGTTGGGGTCTTCCTCTAAATAGTTGCTTGCAGGGATTAAGATGTGTTTGTTTTCTACTTTTTAATACAAAATTACAGATGCCACATTTGTTCTCATCAATTTCAACTTTGTTACTTCGTGGAAATTACAAAATTCCAGCTAGATCTCATCAGCTGATTCCTTAGTTGGAAACTCAGTGGGATTTGTCTCTGCTGCCCTTTTTTTTCCTTCCAAGATCCCTGTCTCTCTGAAAATGTGAATTTAATTACAGCTCTTTAAATGATACTTCTCACAGACACTGTAGAAATACTGCCTAGTATAACTATTCCTTCAAGTTTCTGTGTACTTTAAATGCTGAAAGACTATGACATGACTACTACTTTGAGTTGGTTTACTGCCTTGTTTGGAAGCATGCTGCTGTGGGAATACAGTAGGACTAATTTTTATTCCATTTGAGAAGTAGATGAAGGGAGTCAAAGAAAGGTCACAGGTGATGCACAAACTTTGCAAAAATCAAGGTATAGCACTTTTGCTGAAGGTGCTCTTCAAGAGCAGATCTGTACTACTCTGATCTGAGCGTAGTGAGGCTGGATTTAGGTTGGTTTCTTTGGAGGTTTTTTTTAAGCTTAAATCTAGCAGTATTGAATGGCAGGCTATCTTACCTTGAAAATGTATCATCATGGCTACTGCAGTTCTTCATTTTAACAAACTTAAGAAGGAAAAGAAACAGGTCTAATTATGTTACTCTATGGTAATGTTATTTTATAAATTAGTGTACATAATACAGCCAGTAAACAACATTGAAAAGAATAAATGTGATGGGAAAGACTATTCTGGACCACATGTCTATTGAGTTAACATCAGTCAAATCTGGGATCTTGACTTTGATCTGGGATGCCCTTCTTCGCAGGCGTCCTTTTTTATGAAGCCTGTGCCTGTCCAAAGTGGTTCTACTGCAGAGGTCTCTGCTGAAAGTGGCTCTTCTGTACTGCAGGTTGGCACTGTCATACGTGTGCGTGGTGGCTCGGGGCTCACGGAGATTCATGAACACGTCTGAGCTGCTGACGTCATTTCGTATTTCAAATGGGCTAAGCAGCATGTTTCCATGGGGATCAACCTGTGTCAAGGAAGGAATGTGAATTAGACAAGTTCCTCAGCCAGCCTAAGCTGTCTCCCAGATGAACAGGTACCATCTGGCTCCTGTCCAAGGAGCTAAGGTGTACTGGAGCTGCAGTGACAATTGCATCTTGTATAGCATCAGCTGAAGTGAAAATACACTCTCCTGACTGGTGTGAAATTAGCTGTTAGCATCTAGATATCTTCCATTCTGACCCAACTCTTTGGTTTGGGACCTTTTCAGTTAGTTGTGTCATCCCCCATAAAGTAAGAGTTTTTCAATATGATTTTTAACTAGCATCATGGTCTTCAGAAACTGCTGAATTTTAATGTCTGGTGACCTGATACTCTAAGATTTCATGTACTCAAAGTTAAAAAAAATAAATGTTGCTGTCTCTGTCAATTTTATACAGTTTTAGTACTGTAGGTTAATTTCAAAGTGTTGTAACAGTGGAATCATCATCTGAAGAACATTATAGATATATGTGCATTTTATCAGTTATTGCAATATGCCTGTGATGACACTTAGTTTTGAAGAATCACTGTATCACAGAGATTAATTTCTCTGCTTGCCGCACCATACCTGCTCACATGCAGATAGAATAATAATCCATTTTACTCAATGAACCTCACATTAATTTGCATCTTTATATGTTAGTTAGTCAGGGCACTGCTTTAGGTACCTGAACAAACAACTGGACACTGCAACCGGTATGTGCATGTCTGGCACAAACTATAATATAAATATTAATATAAAATATGTTAGATAATTGCATTTTTTATTTATGATTAACTATTAATGGCTGCATTACTACAAAGTATTTACCTTTTCACTCATCTTTACTTTTCTACATTTGTAGTAAAACCTCT